AGAAGTTTTAAAAACCTAGATATAGTATACTCTTTTCTCTTTAATTAAAATGAAGCAATGCTATAGGAATTATTTAATTTTCTTCTCTTTCAACTCTCGAAAGTTTTCTGGCAGTCAAAATTGACATGGTAATGTGATTTATTCTGAGCAGTCATTAGAGTTTTCTAAAAATTCTTTTGAGTAGCCCTTAGCATATAGTTTCACCAGATAAAAGTATCAATCTCAAGCTGCCACATTTTAAAAAGAGGCTGATTTTTCCACTGATTAGGTATCATTTTACATTTTGCTGTTATATCATCAGAGATGCCTTTGACAGTTTCAAGTTGTTAAAAAATACTGGGTGGGTTTTTCTTTCATTCTTTTGCTTCATAAATCATTCCCATAAGCAGAATAATAGTGACAGGAATATATACAGTGCCAGTCATTGAGCCACAATCATACCTACCCGGTTAGAAATCCAATCCTATAATTTAGATAAATGAATAGAAAATTACTAATTTTTACCTTATTCTTCCTCAACTATCAAACTCTCAGTGCCTTCTGCATCTTACCCCCACCCCCATGTTTGAAACATAGAGGATTATTAATACACAATAATGTTCAAATTCAAAATTAGGGCATACTAGCTATACTGTTATGAATGATATTTTGTATGTCTGTGATTCTCTTCACTTCAAGATATCAAAGCAGTTTACTTTTTAAATCTCACCTGGCATCACTCAATGGTTGAGCATTGACCTATGAACCAGTAGGTTATGATTCAACTGGCAATCAAGGCACATACCCCAGTTGCAGACTGAATCCCTAGTGTGGGGTGTGCAAGAAGCAGTTGATCAATTAGTCTCTCTTATTTCCCTCTCTCTGCCTCTTTGGGAAAAAAAAAAAAAAATATATATATATATATATATATATATATATATATATATATATATATATATATTTCTCCATTGAATTGTCAAGCCATTAAACTAAACCTCAGGAAGTTTCCCACTCAATGTAATATCAATTTGTTTCATTTTTGAGAATAGCATTCGGAATTAAGGACAGATGCCTGTGAATTCTAAATCAATTTCAAGTCAATATGCCTGGAGAATAAAAACAAATCAAATTATTCATTATGCAACTGTAGAACAGAAATGTATAATGCTGTTACAAAGTAAAGAGAAATGGAACATTATTTTCAGGAAAAGAATTTCAAATAACATTAGGACTTGTAGGTTTGCTGGTGTCAGAAATAGATAATCTATAAGTGGTTAATTACTTCATTGTTATAATATTCAATAATACTTTCCTAGCATTTCTGCTTTTGACAAAGTAACTTAAATTAATTGCATTTACTAAATAACAATTTTTAGGGAACCACGCCAAATGGAATTACTAACTACAAACTGCCAATTCAGACAGCTGTGCATGTTCATTTTTGTCAAGCTTGGACAAATAAAATTTTAAACATTAGATAATGCTTTATATAATTTATGTAGCTTGAGAACCAGTATTCATTTAACAATAAAATATTACAGGGTTAATATACTAAGCTAATAGTATATGAAGTTACTTAGATGACATAAAATACACTTAGTTAATATAATAAGTAATAAAAATTACTTGGTCTCATATATGTAATAACATATGAAGTGAATAAAGTACACTTAAGGAATTCCTATTAATACCATGTGTTTTAAAAAGCATCTCCTATTGTTATCTTTATGTATTCAGCTGAAGCCTGAACTGTGCAGCATGAGAATATATCACTATAATGAAAGAGTTGAAATTAACATATGCCCACATTCTTTACTAATACATTTCCACCATGTGGCCTTAAGTACTTTGAATGCAAAACTGTAATACTCTTAGTGAGACCTGGCTTTTTAAATTCACTGGGAGTAAAAACTCCTTTTCATAAAAGTGATCTGGATACAGAGACAGGAAAGCAGGAGGCTTCATACTCCTGGGCAGGAGGTGGCAGCAGCTGAATGGTTCTGGGTGCCACACTGCTGGACTGCCATGCCCACACTGAGGGTTTGATTATTTACTTTTCTTTGTTATAAAATAAACTATGAACATCAAAATTAAATGTTGGCAAAAATCTGACTACATAATCTACCTATTGTTAGTTTTTAAAAGCACCATTTCAAAAAAAAATTTGTATTGGAGATTGAATTTTCTATTCTGTTTAACAGATGAGGCCTTTTTTTTGTTCTAATGCACACCTTAAAATTAATGTAGCATTACAATGCTTTAATATCTGTGTGCATGACCTGCTTATTTTCATTTCCTTAAAATACAGGCTCATCCATTCTTATTTCAGGCAAGGAAAAAAACAAAAACAAAAACAACACATATACAAAAAGACAAAAATAAAACTTTGTCACCACTTTGTCCAGTTTCCACAGAACTCTCTTAAAATTTTATTAGAACTGTCTAAATATGGTATTATAAATATTGACAGGATCAATATTTTTCCTACTTGTGATCATGACACCATTTACCAAAAAATTAAACTTGCACCTTAGTAAAATAATATAATTTTCTTTCCTAGGCCCTTCATAACCATATCAGGATCATCTCTAATACATAAAAGGAAATTAAGTTAATTAGTGAAATAAAGCCAAACAATTATTGTCTACTTTGTGAACAGGATTTCTGTTCCATTATTCTTTTTTTTTCTTTTGTATTATGGACTTCTAGTGACTTCCACTGTTAATTTAAAAATCGATAACCTTAATGAACTCTTACTAGTTCCAATAAATTTTCAGTTGCCTCCTGAAACTCCATGAGTACAATTACATATGAAGGCCCAATTTCTGTGGTAAAAGCTTTAAATTTATTATCACATTTAATCCTTATCAGAAAACACCTTAGAGAATAGTGTATGGTCAAGGTTCAATATATATTTTGTCTAAAAAAGAAGGGGAAGAGGAGAGGCCCTGTGAAAACTGCGAAGAGCAATCTGAATGTAAAGTATTACAATCACTCCCTCATCACATCAGCCATCTCCCTTCACCTTTAATAACCACTTGCTCCTAACCTCTTTTCTAGAAATCAGCCTATGGTGCCTGCCAAGAAAGCATGTCAGCATACCCAGAAGCAAGCTCATCATCTTTCCCCACAGTGGTCAGTAACCTCTTTCCCTCCTATGAGTTCCCGTCACATTGTGTTTAACATGTAAAGGGTGTTGAGCACATTCTACCTCCCTCTCCCCTATAGGAAAATAGAACCCTCGCAGGCAGATACTGATTGTTTTATGAAACTTTGTAGCTCGCTCACATGTAGAATTTTACTGAGCATAGTATGAACTCAACTGAATTTCAACTTATCGCAGGTGAGCCCATATTCTGACCTGGGGCTGGTAAGAGCTGTCATCCTGGGATGCTGATGACATGAGTCCCTCTCACCCCCTTTTATATGTTGAACATGACCAGCGGCAACGAGACATCTTCAGTGAGATGAATTCCAAGAGAGAGAAGACCCAGAATGCTGCTACCCAAAGTGGCAACATCTAGAAGACCAGAATCCCCTGTGAGCTCAGAGAAATAGCGGTTGTTTGCCACTGATTCAAAAGGAAGAAGTTGAGGACAGTTCTTCACCAGGTACAAGAGTAACACAGCCCTCACCTGAGCTGCCCGTGACATCTGTTCCTTTAGTGATAGTGACTGTCTCCCAAATGATGACGGTCCCTAAAATTGCCCACAGTGTACAAGGTTTCTATGTGCAAGAGGCCAGGCCTCTTAAACTTAAGTCATTTAGTTCCTTTAAAGACAAGTAAATTAGGTTCTGCCAATATGTCAAGTTCCAGATAACGGTGATAAGAGAAAATTTCTGAGAGGTCTCAGATTAAATTATAGCAAGCTGAAGGGTGGGAAGAAGAGACACAGAGTTAGTTAATGGAGCCCGTGGCCAGAAGCCAAGGAAGGGCTGCTTATATTCCTGAATGCATGCTGAAACTTTGAATGATTGTCCAGATAGCTTATTCAGCCTTTATCTAAAAGGGACAGAGAAGCACTGATCAGACCATTAAACCTCAGAGGGAAGGTAGGGGAGGGTGGGGGTAAAGGGGAGAGACCAACGGACACAGACACTAGAGGGCTGAGGACATGAGTGGGAGCTTGGGGGTGGCAATGGGAGGACAAGGACACATGTAATACCTTAATCAATAAAAAAGAGCAACTATCCAACTAAAAAGTAAAATAAAATAAATAAACATAAAAAGGGATAGCCAACTACAAGACTCCACTGCCTTCTGCTGACCCAAGAACCTTCCAGACTGGTGTCACAACCAATCGGAAGGAGCAAACACTTCTTCCTCGGGGACGAGGCACTTACCCAGCACCACCCCTCACCTTCCCTTGCCCCCTTTACCTGTAGCCAATGTACTAAACTCTTTCAAAACAACCTACATCTTTCTTCCCCAAACTCATTATATCCAACACTCCTCCACCCCAAGATGGGCAACCTGTCTGTTTCCTCCATCATACCGGCTGCTGGTGGTTAGGCCACGTGGCCCAGGACCTGGTCCCTTTCCTGGCTAGCAATGAACCCTTTCTTTAAAAAAAAAAACAACAACAACAAAAAAAAAATCTTTCTGCCTTGAAGGTTTTTGTTTAACAGCAGCAACACATTATGTGTGGTTTATCTTACTGCCCAAAGCCTTCAAGACTGTAAATCAGCTGAAACCAGTTTGGCCCAGTTGATAGGGCATCGGTCTGCGGGCTGAAAGGTCCCAGGTTTGATTCCGGTCAAGGGCATGTACATTGGTTGTGGGCACATCTCCAGTAGGAGGTGGGCAGGAGGCAGCTGGTAGATGTTTCTCTCTCATCGGTGTTTCTAGCTCTCTATCCCTCTCCCTTCCTCTCTGTAAGAAATCAATTATATATATTATATATATATATACTATAAATCAATAAATACTATGATAGTGGCCCTTCATCCCCAGAACTCCTCCCCCCCCCCCCCCCCAGGGAAAGTGTGCAGCCCTCTGTGTGGGTCACTGGGATGCTTACGTCAAACTCATTCAGAGCCGCAGCCAGCTCGCCGATGCCCGTGTGGCCCTTGGCCTCGTCTGTGGGCGAGGTGGCCTGCGCGGCATTGGAGATGCCGGCGATGGCCTCCTGCACCTGCTTGAACACGTAATCGCGGTTGGCTCTGGTGGCCGCGACGTCGGGGTGGCGGAGGAAGGCCTGGGAGGCCGTGTACAGCATCGTGGCGTTCTTCTTCAGGGCCCCTCGGGCGGCGGCCATCTCGTCCCGGCAGTGGGGATCCTTCAGCTCCTGCGGATGCAAAACACGGAACCTGTCATATCCGCGGCACTGGCCACTGAAGTATTTGCAATAGAACTTAGAGCCACAGGCGCGGACAACCGCGCTGAATTTCAGGATGCATCTACTTGTCCTTGGGCTCTCTCTAGCTGCCAGGACTCTGTGCATGGTGCTTTTTCTGTGTGAAATATCGGAGTATCCCTCCACCACCATAGCCTTTCAGCTGATGTGGTCCATCCTCCTAGAGCCCACTCCCCCTCCTACCCTCTAAGCTGAGCCCCCTTCTATCTGCCCTCCCACCTTTCACCCCCATCGTCTATTAGCTCCCTTAAGTCAGCATGTGCCCCCTCCTACACTAGTTGTCCCGGGAGATCGGGAAGCCCTGTCTGTCCTGTACAGGTGGCTCTTGAGCCATCAGCAGTGTCTGGCCCATCGAAGGCGTGCCAGGCAAGTTGCTGAAAGAATGCAGAACCCGAGCCACCAACAAGGTAAGCATCATACATGGATCGGACTTAGCCATCAGCAGCTGGGAAACCCAAACTTCATTCCTGTTACAAACAGGGGAAATCAAACTCCGGATTTTTGCTCGGTGCATGACTGCCTCTTCCTATCATTTTCACAACAAGATACTTTTTTTTTTCTTTTTTTCTTTTTTTTTTTTTCTTTCCCTAAATTGCCTTAATGGCAGCTCGGTGAGTTTAGGGAATGCAAAATAGCAGGTCAAAGAGGATTTGCTTTCCTGGTTTGGGATATCAAAATAACCCCACGGGGCATCACTCTACTTTTAGCTTTATGGGGTCTGTTAAGAAAATTTTCTGACACGTGAAAGGCAGTGCTGTCTCCAGAGCCGTCTAGGGTTACCGGCTGAGTATCTCTGGCAGAATATTTTCAGGCTTCAAAACATCATTCAATAGTATAGGAACCACTGGGGTGTTTTGTTTTGTTTTTCCTAGTCACTCACTTAGCACATGACACAGGGATGACCTGGCCACAGTGAATCATTTCTTCCCCTTTGTGAGTCAGAATAATTCTGAGGCGAGCACATTATATCTCTGTGGTCTGCAAACTGTGGCTCTCGAGCCATATGCAGCTCGTTGGCCCCTTGAGTGTGGCTCTTCCACAAAATACCATAGCCTAGGTGAGTCTATTTTGAAGAAGTGGCGTTAGAAGAAGTTTTAAAATTTTGGCTCTCAAAAGAAATTTCAATCGTTGTACTGTTGATATTTGGTATGTTGACTAATGAGTTTGCCGACCACTGTTCTATCTGATATTTAGGACTGTCCAGACAAGCTGACAATAAGCAGCAACCGAACCGCCTGTCCTCATTTCCTTAAAATAGCAGATTTCTGGTGCCAGCCAACACAAATTCAAAATTGGGATTCTTTATTTTTAGCCCCCAGATAAGCAGATAACATGAGGCCAGGCATTAGCCATCCAGGCAGTGCAGGCAGGAGCTGGCTCCCAGCGCCATCAAGGCCTCATTAAACTCAGGACACCTGGTCCTCAGGTTCCATATTTCACCCCTGAGTAGCTATGCTAAGAGGGAAAGCCTGGATATGGAAGTGAGAGATGCCAGGTAGAAAATTCTTAATTATCTCCATAAAGATACTTGAGAAAGCATTCTTTAATCACAAAAAACAAATAACTGAAAACAATCTAAATGTTGAATCCTAAAAACTGGTTAAGGAAACTATGAAAGCATTCACTTGATGGACTATTTATGTAGATATTAAAATCTGTTTCCAGAAAAGCAATAACATGGATCATATTTATAAGATAAATGAAAAAGAGAAACACAATATGCATACTTTTATGCATGGAATGATTGCAAATATGTTAAAATATGAAGATTAATACAGAAAGGCAAAATACCTGAATATCCCCACCATTTTGCTGAGTGGTTATGGTTATGTGCTTTTTCTTTCATGTCTACTCTTTTTCTAAATTTTCTTTAAAAAAGTCTGAACTAGCACTTAATTAAAAGCAAAGTAATAATGAAAGTACTAGAAAATAATGTTTTTGGGGAGTCTCATACAAATATCTTAGGATTTAATACTCATTACATGCTGATGACTCTTGTTTCAATCTCCAATCCACATCTGTCTTCCTTTTACATTTCTATATAGATATTTTATTAAATATATTTTATGGATTTTTAACAGGGGATGGATAGAGAGTCAGAAAAAATAGATGAGAGTGAAACATCGATCATACTGCATACTCCCTACTGGGATATATCCTGCATACTCCCTACCGGGGATGTGTCCAAAACCAAAGTACATGCCCTTGACCAGAATCGAACCTGAGACCCTTGAGTATGCAGGCCAAAACTCTATCCACTGAGCTAAACCAGTTAGGGCTCTCCATAGATATTTTATACGTTTCCCAAAATCAACGTATCTAAATATGAAACCTTTATTTCTTACTCTACCTTGTCCCTTTCCAGTCTTCCTGAGTTTAGTAAATTTAGCACCACCTATCCATTTGCTCAAACCTGAAGCTTAGATGTGAAAGGTGGCTATCACTCCCTAACCTCACACATTTAAATTAATAACAGGACTTATGTGGTCCATTTTCAAAATAAACTCACTCCCTATCGCTTTCTGCATTCCTGCTGCTACCACCTGACTGAGACCACCACAGCTCGTACCTAGATGACTTTAGCCTAAGGTGACCAGATGTCCCGCTTTTGGCAGGACAGTCCCGATTCTTAACAATTTGTCCCACGTCCCACGGTGTTTTAAAAAGTCCCAACTTTCCAAAAATTGGGACGTTTTTAAAACAACGCAGGACAAATTGTTAAAAATTGGGACTGTCCCGCCAAAAGCGGGACGTCTGGACACCTTACTTTAGCCCCCTCTCAGTTACAACCAGTTTCCCCTCTTCCAGTGGTTGGCAAATTCATTAGTCAACAGAACCAAATATCAACAGTACAATAATTTAAATTTCTTTTGAGAGACACATTTTTTAAACTTAAACTTCTTCTAACACCACTTCTTCAAAATAGACTCGCCCAGGCCGTGGTATTTTGTGGAAGAGCCACACTCAAGGGGCCAAAGAGCTACATGTGGCTCTCGAGCGGCAGTTTGCTGACCACGGCCCTCTTTCATATCACTCCCCTTTCTGTAACATAGAATAGCATTAAAATGTACGTCTGAAACATGATCCAAAATACTGAACTATTCAAGTACTCTCCACTCACAGTTAAATCCAAACACTCTGCAAGGCTCTGCCTGTCCCGGGTCCTGTTTCTCTTCCAGCCTCTCCCAGGTCCACTGAGACCAAGACTCACCGTAGTCTTTTGCAGGCGTTTAACAAGCCAGTGGCTTTTGGTCTGGGGTCTCACACCTGTGCTTCGGAAGCACTTCAGTCCCACCCACATCCCACTGGGGCCGCCACCCAAGATTCCACGTGAACAAAGAATTCTGCTGATAACACGTAAACAAGATCAGGTGTGTGTGCCTGGTATGCAGGCACTGTGAGCTTTGTGGGGATAGGGGCTGGTCAGTTTTGTACTAACAGCATCACAAATGAACATTCAGCCACGGTTTGTTGACTGGGACTTTCTAGTTGGTTCCAGAAAATTTTAGGGGGAAAAAAAATTACTAGGAATTGCCTACAATATGGAAGAATTCTGGGAGGAGTCAAGAGGATGGCTGGATGTGAATTTAACCAACGACTCCACATTTGCAAATTATTTTTACTCCTGAGAAGAAAAGAAAAATATTTGGGGGGAACAAAACTCCCGTGGTAACTAGTGACTAAACCGAGCTGGCTAAGCTTGAGGGTACTATCTCTAGACAAAGTGAGGGCAGAGAGCGTCCCAGGTCAGCCACCTTCATCAAAGTGACTCGCTCACACCTGTGCTCCTCCTCCCCTCTCCATTCCTCTTTCTCTGGGTCTTTCCTCTCATTCCTGAAAGTTCCACTCCACATTGTGGGTAAACCTATCCCACAGGGCTGGGGGATAAAAAGTACGGCAAAGGGCGGTGTCCAAGCAGTGGCCAGAGCATCACACGGCAGTTTTTTATTTGCTGGGAGGATTTCCTAGAGTGGAAAAAATAATGTAGTGGGGCTGGCTCAGGGTCCCACTAAGGAAGCAAGAAGCCTGAGGAGGTAGGCAGGGGCCAGAGAGCACCTCAGGGCTCCCTGGTGGTATCAGAACTGGCCCAAGCAAGAGTAGTTTTTTTTGTTGTTTGTTTGTTTTGTTTTTTGTTTTTGTTTTTGTTTTTGATCCCAGGTCCTGAGGCTGTTGCTAATTTGATGGCCAGCAGATGCAGCTGACCCGCTGTCCAGGCCAGCAAAGCCGGAGGTTACTGAGCTCACACATCCGCTCCCCAGCACCTCCGAAATCTCCCCCACCTGTTGTCTCCTGGCTGCTACATAGTTCAGTTTCACCATCTCTTTCCCAAATTCTTTGAAGCGGTTTGCAAGGTCTTGCTCATTTGTAGCATTTTTGACTGCTTCCAGGGCCTCCTCGACCTGAAGTGATAAAAAAAACAGACACATTTATACCTAGACAGTATTTAGATGTGTTATACTTGTTAGTGGGTAGTTCATTTTTAAAAAAGCATACACACTAATGTATTAACATTTAATACATATGTTTACATACATTTAAAGCATATAGGGAAATTATTCTTTACAAGCACATACAATCAGAATTAAAATTTTTTCAAGAATTGTAGAACATATTATAAATAAGAAGTAATAACTGCTAAACTCTGGCAGTATATAAGATATGATTTTTTGTATTTTATTGAGTTATTGTGATAAGAAAAACTGACTTGTAATTTTGAGAAGTCACATAAAGGAAAATATGTATATATATATATTTTTAAATGTGGAATTTCAAAACCATTTCTAGAAATCTTCAAGAAGAAAGTGGTTGGCAAACAGAACCTGCAGGAACTCCCAAGCTGCTAAAAAAAAAAAAAAAAAAAAAAAAAAAAAAGACCGAAAGAGCTGGAATATGCAACCTGTTTTCTTGGCAACAGCTCTCTCTCTCTGGGACTAACGGGGCTGTGCTTTTGAACTGAATGTACACCTTGCCAGCCAAAGGAAAGAGGAATTACTGAGTCTCAAGAAGCAAGTGAAACTGATGGAAACTGGGTGAGCAGAATGACAGCACACACTCTGCTGCCAAATTCTCGCACACTGCTGTCAGTTTTTCCCAGTGTGGCCTTGGCCTTGAATTATGAATTTCACTGAAAACTCCTCTGTAAATGATTGCAGGATTCGAGAGTTTCCTCCCTTTCAGAGTGATCTTCACTTTAAACATGGTGTGAAGGTTTCCACAATGAGTAACCCTTTAAGGCTTTAATACCTGTACACTCAATTAAAACTAAACTAAAATTAAGATATTATAATGAACTAATCTACTAAATTAGTGGTCAGCAAAAGGGCAGCTCTCAAGCCACATGAGGCTGGTGCTGGGGAGGAGGCGGTGCTAAAGTGGACGGTGCCATGGTAAGGGAGAGGTTTGGGAGTCTATACCCTGGGCTGGGAAACTGTCTCCCATAAGCTGATACAGAGAGCCCTTGGAGGCCCTGGCTTAGCCTTCCTCCTTATGTATGCCCTCATGACCTTGGACAGATTACAAACAGCCGTTCCTTCCCACAGGCAGGCCAGGCTCATACCAAAGCCAGGACGCTGGGCTCAGCCAGGTGTTCCTGTCCTTATTATTAGGAATCTGTACATAGGTAGAGCTTAAAGACTAAAATTCCTAAGAAAGATATTAGAATGCCCTCCCTAATTAGTGGAATCAGATCTTCCCTAACTTCAGAGCTTGTCATTTAAACTCTTAAAATCTGGGTCTTCTCATAGCTTGTTCAAACAACTCCCCTACCCCTATTCCTAAAGCAAGTCTGCCTGCTACCCGAATTTAGTGCACTACTGTGTCACACTGTTTGAGACAGACACCTTCAATCAGCTCCATTTTCCTGATTTAAATTGCTCTCATTTCTTTTGATATAAAAAAGTAGCCTGAGCAGAGACCGGTTTGGCTCAGTGGATAGAGCGTTGGCCTGTGGATTGAAAGGTCCCAAATTTGATTCTGGTCAAGGGCATGTACCTTGGTTGCGGGCATATCTCCAGTAGGGGGTGTGCAAGAGGCAGCTAATCGATGATTCTCTCATCAATGTTTCTCACTCTCTATCCCTCTCTCTTCCTCTTTGTAAAAGATCAATAATATATAGGGGTCAGCCTGAGAATCCCTTTATTCATTAAGTACTTATTAAGTGGCTGCTACAAGCCAGGCAGGTATGGGAGGTGGGAGGGTGGGAGGCACAACAGTATTGAACTGGGGAGTCTGACACCTCCCCTCCTGGGCAGTGAGATCTGGGCCTACTATCAGCATTTGCTGCCCATAGCAGCACTTGAAATCATTGTTGAGATCAGGCTGACCTCATTCCAGGGTCCTACTCCTGCCACTCAATTAGCTGAATTCTAAGTGACACCAATGAACCTATGGAACAAGCCATGTGCAACTCTCTTGTTACAATCCAGGTTTACAGCAAAATTATAAATCATTTCTTGGAAATAGAGTTGGCCAAGTGAATGAATGAATGAGCATTAGATTTAACTTGTAATTATTTCACTTGTTTAGCCATGTACCCTGGCTTAACCAAGGGTGTCTCAGCATTTTCATACTTAATCTTTTCTGCTTCCTCAAGAGAAGCCAGCTTTCCCCAATCACATCTTCTGTTTCCTTGTTAACAAGTGAGAAAAATCACTTCATCAGCAAGCAAGAGTGATTACCTGCTAGTGTCATTTATTCTTCAAGTGCCATGTCCTATAAAGCACACTAATAGAGCTTTATATATTTCAAAAGTTATTTTCAGCTCATGTAAGAAAAATGACATTAGCCCATTTCACTGAGCACTTACGATGTATCAGACCTTGTTCTAAAAGATTTACATAGACCCCACTCAGTCCTTTTTTTAACTTCTATTTTAAAGGGGAGAAACTAAGGTCAGTGTGAAACAACCTGCCTGGGAGGTCTCACAGCAAGAGAGTGCAGGAGGCTGGCTGTGAACCTAGGAAGTCTGCTCCAGAGTCACACTTACAAGCCCTGTCCTAGCTCAACTTCCCGGAAAGGATGGGTTTATAAAGCTGATGGAATTTGGGCTTTGGTGATAATAAATACCTGAGTGAGAGCCTGCCCTATCTGATCAGTCCAGGTTTTAGTCATTCTGCCTCTTTAAGAGCCCTAACCTTGACCTCCTCTTCACTGTTACTCACTGCCATGCCTTTGTTCTGCTTTCCTCCCAGTCACTGGTCTGAATCATCTCAATCCTCTCTTCATCTGCTACCTTGCTAGGGCTTTCTTTCTCCTCTTTTAATTCCTTCTCTAGATTGCTATAAAAAATGTTTATCTAATGCTTAGAATTATTCAATGGCTCCCCATAATCTACTCATGGGTTACGGGGAGCCACTGAGTAATTCTAAACATATGTAAACTAACAGTCATACTATTCAAGACATTCAGTCTTACTGTTACTGCCTCTCCCCACCTGACCCTCTAGGCTCCAATGACACAGAATCAATTAAATTATTGTGGACTCCCACCCCCTCCCAAGTTCCCTCTCTGGCTCTCATACTGTTTTTTCCTTGGTTTGTGAGGATCTCTGCAGTGAAAGTCTTTCCTGACTTGAATCTGCCTTCTATCTATGGCAAGAGCATCCCATGTCTGAGCAGTAGCTCTCTCCCTGAGCCAGCTATCAAATCCAATTTCATACTTTCTCCCTTTCCTTGGAAACATGCTTGGACCCATAATAGCATTTCTTCCCCTGATGGCCTGACGCTAAGCTTTGTCAGGAGAGACTGCTGGACAGGCCTCCAAGGAGGAAAGTGTGTGGCCTCTGGGTCCTGTGTGCTCCAGGGACAGGTTCTGCTGGAGCGGGGCTGGGCGATGGCGGAGGTGCTTCTCCAGCAGCAGGTGGCCAGCAGCTCATGGCTCTGGGTAACTGACTGTGGGATGACTCCTGGGAGACACCTCTCCATGAGCGGTTTTCCTTGACACCTTAAAGGGCAGGTTTCCAGCAAGTTCCATCCACTTATGTGGCTCCACAATGACTTCTCTGAGCCAGTGAACTAAGAAATTCTAGGTTCCAGCCTGGTGGGAGGGAGGATGGGGGCTCTCCCCAGAGTGCTCTATCTCAGTCTATGGGTGGTGGCTACTCCTCACAGCCGCCATCCCTGTATCCCTCAGAGTTCTCTTGTTACTAGCCAATTCCTTGTTTCTCTAATCTGGTATCAGAGGTAATAATTATTTGCATGTAATTTTCCCTGCTCAAGTTACTGTGTAATTTTGCTGCCATTATTGAAGAATGATAAGCCCCCTCCCCCCAGCTCTTTTAATGGGGCCGACCTCTTTCAATCACCTTCAACTCATAGCCCCTCGCTTCAGGCTTGGATCTGAGGACCCCAATCTGTTCAACCTGGTCTGAACAATTGGTCCCAGGAAAGGCAAATATCCTGCAATTCCGTGAGACCCAATCCTGAGAGCTCCCTCTCCCAGCCACAGCACCCTTCCTCATATCATCCTCAACTGATCAACAATACATTTTGGTTAAGTTCATCTCATCCTTGGCTTTGGGGATGGTGAGGAAAAGGAGTAGTGTTAAGCATATTAAGAAATCAACACATCCCATTTCCATCCCTTCTAAATAATTAACTCAGAGATATACACCTGATACAGGCCAACAGGACTAGGAAGATTCTGGAACTTTTATGTGAGCTATCAGGGAATGGAATTACCTCATTCTTGCTATGCTGACTAGAGTTAGCAGCTCTCTTGAGACTATGAGAAAAGAGCCCACAGAGAAGAGTGCCCTCAGTGAAGAAAAGGACTTAGAAAGTTAATCCTTATCATATTGTGTGCCCTGATCAACCCTTACCCGAAGCTATTGCCTTGTGGATTTTTGGTTGATGAGCCCTTTTTAAAAGACCAGGTGAAGTTGGGTTTCTGTTCTTTAAAATGAAAAACATCCTAATTATTATATTTTCCTTCTACGTGAGTCCATAGCAATGTGCACATTTTCCCAACATTAACTGTGCTCTTTCTTAATGCATCTGCCCATGTGCCTATAAAGTTTTGAAGGCAGGCTCTGAGTCTTACTTACCTCTCAAGTTATACACTTGGCAACAGTGTCTTACATATAGGAGGCATCCAATAAGTATTTCTTAAAAGGATAATGAAATACGTACATTCTGAACAACCCAGCTACGTGAGAGCTCAGACAGAAAAGACACACTAAGAACATGGGCAGCAATTTCTAACTTTATAACCTAAGACAAATATACTTTATTCCAGTTGACTGCTGATATTCAAACACAGGAGCCACATGAGAGCTGGGACTAAATGGGAGACTGCTCAACATTAATATGTTTCTGAGGATGCACAAGAATATTTGATGCTGATGGCACTAAAAGCACAGGTACTATTAGTCACTGTGTTTCATCAATGGCCCCAAACAACGGGATGGCTGAATGTGATGTAACTCTTGGTAGCCACTAAGAAAATATGGCTACCCTGAGAAGTTGGCTAAGGGGTTGTTACTGTTCTCTATTTTTCCCCTCCATTTTGAAGAAAATGGAGAATATTGTTATTCGATGCCCTAGCCTGAGGATAGGGGGGAAAAAAAGGTGATTGTTTTCTCTGCAATGCCATCACCAAAGCTAAAAACTGACAATAAAACCTGATTACATTAATGCAGAGGCTAGGAAAATAAATACCTCTGTTCAGCACTGATTGAAACACAGCATTTCTTTAGAAGTCTGAAGTGCCACATGCCAACCTAACACACAATGTCCACTGATTGCAGGAGACACCAGGTGTCTGGCGAGGGAATCAATCAGCAGCGACTTCAACAATAAATGCAATTACCACTCAGTATTTTAAAAAGATGTCTGATGTGCAAATGAGTACTTTAGCTTTGCTCGGCAACATCAAATTCCTATTTTGGTGACAATTCAGCTTTGAACTCTGCCACTCACTATCCCATCACCAGCCTCCTAAATGGAAACAAGCACAGTCTCAAAAAAAAAAAAAAAAAAAAAAAAAAAAAAAAAAAAAAAAAAAAAAAAGTTGGCAGTCATGTGGACCCTTAACAGAATATGCTTAAAATTGGGTTTCACATTAAAGCACACAAAAACACAAGTGTGATAGAACAGGTAGCATCCTATGGACAACTAGCACATCTATGTTAAGTGAAGAGGAGGACTCTTTAGCAGCCAGCCACGGGAAATGGGAACTTAAGTTTCAAACGTAATCGTAAGGTAATGAGATGCAGAGACCCAGACAAATCACACCGCCTCTCAGCGCTTCCTACTCTCTGCTCCTTGTCAGAGGGTGGACGATTTAGGCTCATGGTGACTCCGTTTGCCAACAATTACCTATCTGGCTGCAGGGCAGGCAATGACGGTGGGGATTTTAGGAGACTAACTGAATGATTCTTCATCTAGTCAGTGAATTGTTGATGAAGAAACATGAATATAAGCTTTTGATAAGAAGGCAATTCCCTCTACGTTCCTGTAATTTACTCAGAAATGAGAGGAAAAAATCAATATCTGGAAAGGACAGCAGTAAAAAAAATATGCCATATAGACTAAAAGACCAAAATTAAAATGTTACGTGTAAGACTTAAAGGTGAAATAGCCGTTGTGGTTATCATGCAGAAAGCTAAGGACTCACTGTAGAAAATGCTGAGTCCTATTAGAAAACACCCATGTGCATCATCTATGTTTATCACGTATATGATGAAAAACACTTTTTTTGAAAAAAAAATTGGAAAAAGCCTCGATGTTATAGATGATAATTCTAACTTGCTCCATCAAAATACAAGAGATTCTTCATGCTGAAAACAGATCAATAGATGCTGGCAGACAACACTAGTTTGTTTATGGGAGGATGCACTTCTCTGAAAAAGAACAAAAATGCCACTAGGAAGAATTATATGCCTTGTTCATTTGCAATTAAGTGTTAACACAGTCTGAAACCCTGACTGGCCCCAACCAGAAGTGCTGGCTCACAGCCCAGTAATTCAGCACCAGAAGCTGTAGTTCCCCACTTGGGCCACGAGGTGGCGACCCTCCACCGCTGCTATTCGCGACCAGGCTGCGCTCCAAGTGGAACAACAAGTGTGTTAGTCCGCAATCATTTTTAATTGCACTCCTGACAATCGGACAGGACTTCTTAATACTACTGGGTTGACCTTTCCAGGATTTTGTGCTAAATCCTTTCTTTAAAATTCCTTTCATCTGCTTTGTTGAGAAAAGAATACAGTGTACTCCACAGGGCAGCAGGTTGCAGGGGTGTCAGAACTGCTCAGAACAGGTGGGTGGGAAGGCAGGAATTCCTGCAGCCCCCGGCGCCTTACATCACATTGCAGGCTGGGGTGTTGTGAGCCCTGTCCCCATCGGGGAGTTCAGGGAGGATGTTCGCCTTGCCTGGCTCTCCAAGAATGGCTGCCCAGGGTCTTCCACAGCAGGGAGAAGAATGACAGGAGGGCTGCACAGTTCATTTCTTTAGGCTCAGTCCCAGGCTCTCCCTGCTACAGGAAGGTTGTTCATCTGGGGAAGGACATTTCTTAAATGCTGTCTTTGAAATCTAAGTAGGCTGTATGGGGGATGGAGGGCTTTGTCTCCAACACACTTGCGAACAAAGTAATCAGTTGACTAAATGAGGCATAGGACACAGGTGGGGCTGCCAGAGAGCAGCCTGCACTGTGGGTACAAGTGGTTCCAGGGATCCTAGGACTGCTACATAGCCCTCGTTCACCCAACACTTACTTTGTGCCAGACCCTGTGATGCCCACTTCATAGCAATTTCTCCTATTTCAACCTCCCTCAACACTGTGGGCTGTCCTGTCATTAGGCATGTTAACAGGGGGAGCGTCTGAGGTGCCAAGAGCTTCCGTGGTGGGTTACAGCACGGCTGCCAGGCAAGTGGACATCAAACCGAGATGAAGCCTAGGCAGTCTCACCCCAGTGGCCAGACGATTAATCAGAATGCTGTGAGTCCTCTCAATATGCTCTCATGTAGGTGAAGTCTCTCCTTCTGCTCACTTCATCCTACTTGCAAGACCCTGCCCTGACTCTTGCAGGGACTCTTCTTGGAAAACCCTGAGGAAAACTCCCAAGCAAATGCTGTTCCGTGTCTCTGTGCTCCTCGGGCACCTGCAGTAGCGCCCACCAAGCAACCTGCGGTGTGTGAACATGGAACACACGCCGGAGATGCTGCCATTTGAGGGGTTTCATCATGGTGCAGAGTTTATGCATAACTTGGAAATACTGGATGCTTTCTTGGGATGAACTCAGAGAAAAGATCTGGTCCAAGAGTTTTTGACAAAAAACAAAACAAAACAAAAACAAACAAACAGGAAAAAAAAAAAAAACTTGTAGCCAAAACTGGTTTGGCTCAGTGGATAGAGCGTCGGTCTGCGGACTAAAAGGTCCCAGGTTCGATTCCAGTCAAGGGCATGTACCTTGGTTGCGGGCACATCTCCAGTAGGGGGTGTGCAGGAGGCAGTTGATCAATGTTTCTAACTTTCTATCCCTCTCCCTTCCTCTCTGTAAAAAAAAAATCAAATATATATATATATATATATATATATATATATATATATATTTTAATCACACTTTGGTTTTGGAAATCCCTCTGGAAATGATGGAACAAAGCTGAGATGGCAGGGAAGGGAGAGCAGATTCATTATTCATGTCCCACCTCAGCGGCCCCTCGTTGTTCATTCCACGGCAAATTAAGTGAGCCCTTGAGGGTTAGCTAACAGGGAAAGTGATGGGCCAGGAATGACTGGAGCTAGGGGGAATAGGCCATCAATAGGTTGGTTCCCCAAAAAGGAAAGTGGACGTTTCCCTTCATCTAACTAAGCACTGAGATGGGTGCAGGGTTGGTACCAATTGTCCAGGGATAAGATTTACTGAGGGCATAGAAGAGAGTCTCCAGGCAGCAGCCACGTTCCTAAGCAATTACCTTCATCTTACTTGATCTGGTTGAAGCATCTTGATTGCAACTAGATCCCAGTCAGTAACTAGGGAAACAGAGAAAGGCCTAGCTGTCCAGGACTGGGAAGGCGGCCTTGGCCCCTGATTCAGTAAATTGGTGAACAGGACAGGGCTCTCTTTTCATTAAGAAACAAAGGAGGTAAAAGGAACCAAAGAACTGCGACAAGCAAGGCACATATAATGGAGTCCTATGGGTTGGTGAGGTACATAGGTGCCACAGACCCAGCCCAGGTACCACAGATATCAGTATGGTGTGACAAGATTGATTCTAGTGATGGGATGTGTGATTGGGCTGCTTTTTATTGCCAGACAAAGACAGGCTCAAAGCCCATAGATCTACATAAGGGCAGGCTGGAGAAGGGAACAAAATATACTCAACATGTGGTCCATGTGAAGCTGGGCATAGGTGGTCATTGGCCAGCTAACCAGGAGAGCTGGCCTAGCCTAAACTACCACATGGCCCAACATTGCTCTCAATTTCCAGACAGGGCCACCCCAGGTGCAGGTTTGTATTCCAGGAAGTCAGAGGGGAATCTAAACTCTGTGTTTCAAAGAAAAACAATGCAAATGACTCTTCTATAACTTTTAAAATAGATTATTGAATTAGCTGAACCATAGGGAAAAGTTGGGGGTGTACCACAGGGGTGAATGATCCAGTGATCTAGTGAGCACTGAAGTCTTTCTGTACAGTTCAGCTCTGTAATATACGCGGTCCATACTGCCACCCTCATAAAGCAAGCTTTGGCCAACTCTACATACGTACAATTTTCAGATGAAATAAAAGTCTCATGACATCTGCCATGTCCGCCAGGATGAGCAGGCGGGTGACAGCTGACAGCAAAGCCCTCGCCGCCCGCACCATGGTGCCACGCTTCACGGATGAGCACGGGTCATCAGCAAACTCGGACGAGGCGATGCGCATGGTCTCACCTGAAAGACAAACACAGGAGGCACGTGGGTGGACAGGAGGCTCGGAGAATGGCAGGTCTGTGCATGGATGATCATTGTTCTCGGTGCAAAACTACAAATGACCACTCCTGGGCTTGCAACACAGCTGAACCTTCCACGTAGGATGCATCCCTGCACATGGACAGGTGCTGTGCGCAAATCAAGGTGCTCATTTCCCATTGAGTGTGGAGTTCTGCTCTTAGCATCAGTAAGGAATGTATTTAAGTCAATTTGTCTGATAGTTGAGATGAATTTGCCCTTACCTTAATCATGCTCACTCTTCATTTCTCTAGGGACCAACGATATTTACGAGGCAGCTAGTTGAGGCTACTGACAGTTTAGGTCCAAAATTTACTGCTCCACAGAGGAATGAAACTGAAAATGTAGATCTCATTAACACCGTACCCTTAATTGAATTACATAGTAACAGACTATAGAAAAACCCTAATTTATTCCTTTTTTCCTCTCAGTTCAGAATTCAGAACCAAGACTAAAACTATAAGAGGAAGTTTATTTCTTTAGAAAGTCACAAAGTTAGGAGTGAGGCATAGAAGAAATGGGCTCCGGAAACAAGTTACAGAGGCAAAAGAAGGCCCTCGGAGCTACGGGAAAGAAAGAGGCAAGCACTACCTTAGTTTTTTAACACTGTTAGGGACCTATTTTCTAAAGTAGAGAGGACTTATAAGACAACTGAACTCTTCCAACAAGCGTTTACTGAGCACATGCATACTGTGTCAGATTCTCCCCTGCGTTGTGGAATGACAAAGGTGACTGAGAATGCCCTGGCCTCACAGAGTTCAGTCTAATAAGGAAACCAGTTCTAAATTCATTCTCAGAATGCAATGATTACATACCATAACAGACATATGATTAAGAATGTAGGCAAGCTCTAACCGGGTTGTCTCAGTGGATAGAGCATTGGTCAGTGGAATCAAGGGTCCCTTGATTTCAGTCAAGGGCATGTGCCTTGGTTGCTGGCACATCTCCAGTGGGGGGTGTGCAGGAGGCAGCTGATCGATGTTTCTCTCTCATCATTGTTTCTAACTCTCTCTCTCCCTTGCTCTCTTTAAAAAAATCAATAAAATATATATTTTTTTAAAAGAATGTAGGCAAAAGAGAGGAGGGAGCAGTTTACTCATTTAGTGTGATTCTGGGGAGAAGCTCTCACCTTTGATGGCTGGGCTTAGAAGAACTAAGAGGTTCACCGGGAAGACAAAGATGGGAAGGGCACCTTAGACAGACGAACAGTGTGGGAGGCCTGAAAACCTGGACGGAGCGCTGAGGTAGTAAACGGCAGTCACAGTGAAGGCACAGTGAGGCAAGGGTTCCGGGGAAGAGGGGCCAGTGCTCGGAATGCTGAGGAAGAGGGTGGGACTGTGTCCTCTGCAGGGCAGGAAGTGACATGAGTAGTGACATTTCCATTTGAGCTGCACTACATAAACTGGAGGGGACATGGCTCGCGCAGAAAAACCTGTTAGCAGGGCAAATGCAGTTGTACTCTGAGAGCAGTAATGAGGGAGAGGGCCTGGACCAGGGCAAATGCATGTGGTACCAGGAGGAGGGAATATTGATGAGATCTGTGTTAGGAAACAACAGATCCCGGGATGGATTAGATGTGGAGGACAGAGACAAAGAAGCTGAAGTGGATGGTAAACAGTGACAGCATACAATTGACAGCATACATGTTTGCACAAAGTTCCCAGAAACAGGAACCAAAGGGAGATCATTAACTAGGATGAAGCTGGGCCCAGGGCAGTGGGGCGGATATCCACCTGGGGCAGAGAGGACTGGGAGGCATAATAAAGCCTTCCATAGCAGAGTATACACAGGCATAAAACTTCAATAAACTAGAAGAATAGAGTTAATATGACCAATATTTCATGTAGGAGAAAATCACTCATTCAATATTTTCTTTACAGAAGTGATTACTTCCCATCAATTAATCAAAATCTAGCTTATTTAGATAAAGTCAATTAGATCATCGGAAGTCTGAGTGCACCGTAATTTATCCTAGCATAAATGGGAACATTTAAAAACACATATGTCTTTCCTTTTCACAGGCAGATCATAATATAATGTGCCTTGCTCAGTTAGTGCCTTAGTTCTTTCAACCCCTGCAGTGATGCTTTTACATTTGGGACATGTGGGCACGTAAGGAAATACATGGAGTGGCCAGATTATTATGATCTCCGAAAGCATAATAATCTGACCACTCAATGTATATCCTATATAATAAAAGGCTAATATGCAAATTGTCTCCTTGACCAGGAGTTCAACCAGCAGGCAAGCCGGCCAACTGCCCATGTCCCCTCTCTCTGGCCAGGCTGGCTGGACCCCACCCATGCACGAATTCATGCACTGGCCCCTAATATGTATATACAGTGAGTAGCCGGATTATTATGCATTCAGAGATCATAATAATCTTGCCACTCAGTGTATAATGTGCTGTTGGATTTTTAAAAGAGACTACAATCTACAATAAGCATATTATGTTGCTAACCAGCTTTTTTATGCCTCTGCACCAACAAATTGCTTGATGCATAAGAACAGATGGAAAGAAGTTTAAAAATCCATTAGGGTCCTGGCACCATGGTGAATTTTCATGATGCATGGCCCGAGAGGACCAAATGAAGTTTAAGAAGGAGGCTGGTGGTGAGGAGCTACATATTCAATCCAATCGTCTCACCCTGGTGGCAGGCTCACACACAGCCAGCTTCCTTCTCCTCCCGGCTACTCCAAAAGACGCATTAGCCAATAGCTATGTGTTCTGGAGAAGGAAGCTACCTCCCTGCCATTCTGTGCAGCGCAGACAGAAAGAACATTACACACCAGGGCAAACCTAATGCCATTTTGAGAGGGTCATTAGATACAGGTATGTGAAATGGACCCACTCATTCAAAGAAAAGGAACATTTGTTCTGCACATGAAACTAGGGAGCCACACAGTTGATCCAGAATTCTGCAGATTCCATTGGTATGAACCACAGCCTGGGTAAGAGCAGTGGCCCTCAGGTAGGGTGATTCTCAGCATAAAGCTCCCCTTCCCCCCAGCATGTGGGGGATCAGTGCCTAAGCAAACGGATTTTCAAGCTCAGGTTTTCATGGAGAAGGGCAGGAGCAGGGCGTGTCAGAGCTGGCCATTTGGTCAGCAGTACAGCTCCAGAGCCAATGGGATCCAATAGTAATGAGCATTCAAGTTAGGGCCCACAGGCAGCACCCATGGAAGAAACTCAGAAGATATCCAAGAGAGAGAGGGGCGGGGGCGGGGAGAACACCTACTAGTACATCAGTAAATGTGATTCTGCAAAGGGAAATCTCATGCTACATTCTGAGATTTTCCTAAGACAAATAGAAGCTTTAATTCAACTTAAATGAAAACTAAAAACTTATTTTAAGCAGAGACAAATGATATCATGTTATTAAATATTTAAAAGGAAAGCAATCCAAAGCTATAACTTGAATACGTTTTATATCCATATAGTTTTAGGTTTATGAATTAAAACAGAAATTTATATTACAAAATGATAAGCACGTTTATCTGGATAAAATTAGCTATTTTCCCAGGAAACTGCCTTTCTATAATACCAAAATATGTAGCTAATAAGTAGCATGCCTGTGTAGAAGATGGAAGAGAGCAGTGGAAAGAGGATAACAAATCTACCTGTTTCTTTTATAGATAAAATTGTATTCAATCTCCTTTACTTGATTATAGATCTAAGCACAGAGCACTGTTTCTATGGTAAAGCCTTTGAGCTCCCCAAGCCACGTTCCTTGGTTGGAAAGAAAAGAAATTAACATCTCCAAATAAGTGACTAAAGGGAAACAGTAACAATTAAATTGCATATAGTACTTTTATATAAAGGTTTATTATTATAACAATTAAATTGCATATAGTACTTTTATATAAAGGTTTATTATTAGATGCCCAATGCATGGGATTCATGCACTGGGGAGGGGGGTGTCCCTCAGCCTGGCCTGCACCCTCTCACAGTCTGGGAGTCCCCAGGGCATGTCCAACTGCTTCAGAGGCAGGAGAGGTTCCTGCCACCTCGGGGGAGCTCCCCAGCTGTAAGCACAGCTTCTGGCTGAGCAGCACGCACCCTGTGGGAGCGCACTGACACCAGGGGGCAGCTCCTGCATTGAACATCTACCCCTGGTGGTCAGTGTGCATCATAGCAACCGGTTGTACTGTTCAGTCTATTTACACGTATTAGCCTTTTATTATATCGGATACACTCATACATTTAACAATGTCTGTGTGACATTGTTCAAGTCACACAGACCTACAATTGTATCACAACTTCACTCCAACCATTACTAAATATGTGTGCTTGGTGATGAGTCAACCATTGTGTATTAGCCCCTGCAACGGTAAATGAGGGGTGAAAATAAATACAACTGCCTTGTAACTGTGATTTAGGGGTAAGGGTTGGAGATGATGCATTCAAAGCGCACAGCACAAGACTAGCCCTGCAACCAGGCCTACTCACTACCATCACTGATGGCCCTGCAAACACATCACTGCAATCCTCTCCAGTAAAGAACTGTTGGTGAACTTCTCAAAGTTTAGAAGCGTATTTTTGGTTGATTCCTCCCCTCATATTCACAATAATTTATTTTTTTAAAATATATTTTTATTGATTTTTTTACAGAGAGGAAGGGAGAGAGATAGAGAGCTAGAAACGTCGATGAGAGAGAAACATCGACCAGCTGCCTCTTGCACACCCCCTACCGGGGATGTGCCCGCAACCAATGTACATGCCTCCGATCGGAATCGAATCTGGGACCTTTCAGTCTTCAGACCGACGCTCTACCACTGAGCCAAACCAGCTTCGGCTAAGCAATTCTTTCTTTCTTTCTTTTTTTTTAAAGAAAGGTTTTATTTATTTATTCTTATTGATTTTTTACAGAGAGAAAGAGAGAGGGATAGACAGTTAGAAACATCGATGAGAGAGAATCACGGATCAGCTGCCTCTTGCACAC